GCGCTTCAGCTACGGCTCTCTGGAGAAAGAATCTCAATTCAGGAAAATCAAGAGGATTCTGAAAGGGTTCATGTGAAATTACAGGGAGGAGTACACTATTCAACAAGAAACGCAGCCTTCAGCGTCAAATTCACAAGCATGTAACCTTTAAAGTTGAGATACGCTAAACAATTTTACACTTTTGGAAGAGAAAAGCACGAGGATTCGAATCTGCTCCTACTTCAGTATGTAATCGCCCTGAAAGGAGCTATAGTCGTTGAAATAGTGCCAATGCAGCGAAAAAGTACCTTTCGGCGGTACTCGGGCAAAAATCCTCAACGTGGCCATTTTTTAAATAGTGGACGTATTTAGCAGTTCTAGTAACCGTTGATAGAGCAAATCTTCTAGTTTATGATGACGTATTAACTTTTCAGATTGGATGAGTTTGAACGGACCTCGTTAATTTTGCAAAAATCCTCAACGTGGCCATTTTTTAAATACTGGACGTATAAAGCTGCTTTAGCAACCGTTTGATAGAGAAAATCTTCTAGTTTTGTCTGCCATATTAACTTTTCGATTTGACGAAAATGAAGCAAGTTATGGCTTCGGAAAGTGTAAAAACTCGTGCTCATCATGAATTTTCCTCGTTAATTGATCTAAATTTGTTATTTCTTATAAATTTTTGTAATTTCAATACTGATTAGAAAGAGCTCTTCACAAAACTCCCAAATCTGCTTTCAGATTGAAAATTCGTCATATTTGAAGAAAGTTATAATCATTTGAATATTTGTTCAAATTTCAATAGTAGATAAGCTGCTCCACGGTCAACGCCAAAGATCAGTCAACACACAGCTGGCTAAGGCGGTTACAAGGCTTCTTTCAACTGAAAGGGGGACGTGTAAATTGAGAACCATACTCTGTGTAGTACTAGAATTTGGTAAGTCTTGTGAAGGAAATAAATAAAGAAGAGATGTTGTCATAGTATGCCATTTTTAGTGACTAGTTTGTCGTTTTTTGCTCCGTTTCTCGTTTGCTCGTTTGGTATAACTTCAATAATGACCACTTTAGCACTGTTTGAACAGATTTTGGATACAGTGGGCAGCAGCTTTTAATTAAGTTTTTGTGGAGAATTTGACAGCATCTTCCATAGTTCTTGCTCGTTGAGAAAGGTCGTTTCATGAATTCGTCTCAGGGGACGGGGGGGGGAGGTATCTATTTCCAATTTTTCCCGATGGTTCGCTTGACCCTGAATGAGCTTGAGCAAGGTTTGGCGGAAATACTTCAACACACTACGTTTTTCACTTTCTATCGTGATTTTACTTAACTGAGCCGTGGAATAGAAAAAGTCACAGAGAATGGACATATTGTAATCAACTTGGATCTATTGTGCGCGCTCAACAGGGTTTCCACCCACCAGAGCGTTGATCATTTGATAATACAAATTGAAACTGACCATCCACAATCTATGTCACTTCGCCCACGGCACTACAGATTGCGCGGTGGTTGAAGCAGACTTCTTCTATCTCATGGAAGCGGCAGCATGCTGTTCTGTAAAGTCTTATCGTGTATCTTGCTCCAGCGTGACGTCAACAGCACGGCTCGCGTCGCACCTCGGCGAGCTTTTCTCTTCTCCACCCAACTAAATAGACAAAGTTTAGTACAATTGGACTGCTTACCTTTCACTCCATCATTTCAATTATTGCTCTGCTCGATTTTTGCATATTAGTGCAGCCGATCTCGTTCATCGTAACAGCATCCGTCTGCCACAAGTAATGCTCGCGCCTTCGACAACGGAACTGTGTGTTCCACTCAAACTCACCCAACACGTGGCCTTGGTTTTGTATTCCTTAGATTAGTCAAAGAAATGAAAGACATATCACTAAGACAGACTATTCTGGACTTCGAGAACGCTCAATGGTGGGTCCAGGAGGAATCCTAACCGAATTGGTTAGTTTTCATGATGAATTACAACGATGAAAAACTTTTCTTACCACTCTTTGGACAGATGTCTTCAGTTGCAGTGGACATTTGCGTGTGGAACAATTTGTACGTCTTCGCGAGACGATCCGCCACACCGGCGCTGGCTTGGACGTACCGCACCTAGAAGCAAAATGCAGATTCGAGTCTACCAGAGCTTCTCCTAGAATCAGTTACTGTGGAAAAAATGAGATGGTGTTTAATCAATTCATAGTTCTCGATGTTGATAAGATGATAACTTCAACTGTATGGTGTCACACTTCTTGGAAAACTTTGCCGCAGTAATGATTTTGAAGCTTTTGCGGTCAATCTAAGGGAAAAGGAAAATTGCTCATGGCCTTCTTACATAACTGATAGAAAAAGAAAAAAAATAAAATCAACTTGTTAGGGGTCGACACACCCACCTTGATTCCTCCACTTCCGAAGAGCACAACATAATCGATCTGAGGTACTTCCTTCAGTATGTTATCAATTAATGATTGAAATGGTCGATCGTAGCGTAGTCATGACACGCCAGCTGGAAAATCAACAGCTTCAGAAACGTTAGCTAGGGTGATCCGAAGACGGTGTTATAAATAATATAAATGGCAGAAGTGCAAAGGAATTCCGTGGATACATTAAGAACATTCACTGAAGGCAGAGATGACTGAGTGGTGGGGTAGGTGTGTGCCCACAGCCTTGAAGGCCACGGGCTCGACCCTTGACAATGCAAAAACCTGTCATTCAATACATTTGGTGCACCGCGTACCACGAGGCTAATGGATACGATCGCCGTTGGAAGGAGAGCTACATCAAAAAATGCAAACTTTCAATTAACAGTTACACAGCTAATGCCACTCGAAAGTGACCAAGAGATTCTTTGCCTGAGCTCTGTGGTCGAAATCTACCGAGAAGAATGATCTCGAAACTGAGCCACGCAAAGCAATACTACTCGATTCTGATTAGTTTGTAGCGGGTCTCGAGAGGATACTAATCTAATATGAGTGGGCAGAATCCCGCTGTAAACACATAGAACACGACGCTTAACTGCTGAATAAAAAGTAAATTTGCCATTGACGGAGTGGCAAGCATCCCAATTCGACGGAAGGGACGTCCCTGACGTGGTAATTGAAAACTGCCTCGGCTACTTTATACGCCGCAATCGGACTATGTGACCGTCAGAGCACTAGCAAATTACGACAATATCTCACACTTCAAATTGAAACGTTTTTCATCCCCAAGAAGTTTCTTTCGTTTTAATAGCAAAACACATGATATTCATGCTTTTCCTTTGAATTTTTCACAAGTACGATTGAGACGGCGAGGGCGTGAACTCTTGAAAGTCATTAGGATCATTGGATAGGTGAGGAATAAATCATCAAAAAAGGCTCGACTGACATATCGGTCATGACAGAACATCCCTTTGACAGAAAAAGCGGAGACACTTGAAAAAAAAAAACAATAGACGGGGTACTAATTACAAAAGGAGCAAGGAGGAGAGCGCGAGTCACTCTATCATCTCAAGCTACTCTCTGACGTTATAAGAAAAATAGCACCTGTGGTGACGGTTTCCGGCATGAATATTATGGTGGACTCGCTGATGACTTTCTGGACACCTTCAGCATCTGGCGTTTCGCACCATTTTGACATCATCTCGTAAACAAGAACCTCTGTTCGCTGAAATCAACTGCTAGACCAAAACTTTCCAAAATTCCAAACACTCAATTAGATGAAAAAATATTGTTTCTGAAAGGAGAAAAAGAGTCAAGAAAGCACTGCGGATCACAAGCAAATAACGAAAAATGAAGCAAACCACTGATGGCTTCAAATAAACAAAAAATCCGAGAATGCACAAATAAGCCACACAACAAGTTACCCAGAACGGACACACTGTTGCGCACGCCGGCCCGCGGTGGTTTATTAGGCTTATAGCGTAACAGCAGGGTTAAGACGGGGCTAAAATAAGGTGTCGTGTCTCATCATTAAAAGAAGAGATTTCCGTTGACGACAAGTTCGTAGCCCGCCTTTCCGCTCTAAAACTAGGGTGCAAAGAATGAATGGAAGCTGTAGGTGACATTATCGAAAAATGCGAAACAACAACCCCGAGCAAGGATGTGGCTATATTTAGGGGAAGGGGTCTCGGGACGTGCGAACCATGGGTAAGCCACCCATCAAATAGTAAACTTATGTAAATTAAAAATGTATGTAAAATTTATAGTCAGGTTTGTCAAAAATCCAGTCGTCCAGGTCCTGGGAAGATATTGTGTTCCAAATTATGAGCGTTATTCGGGTATATGAAGATGCTGTAACATCAGAACCAAAAGAAAGTGGCGCAGCCGCATCCGTTACGGGTTGAAAAAATTATACTGAATGTACTACAAACGAGCGAACCTTCTCTACAGCCATAACCAAACGTGTGTAAGGCGGTTCTCCGCTGCCCATGCGGTATAACTTCAGAAGCGGATTTTTGGTCGGCACTGAGAATAGACAATGTTTCCCTTCCAAAACTGGTATCGAAGCACTGAAAACTGAGAATTATTAAAAGTTCGTCCAATTTCGTGACAGTGGGAGAACTTTTTGTGAAGCGCAAAATCAGCAATGAATATCAGGAAGAGGGAGGGAGCAAAAGCAGTCACACCCCTCCCATTCAAACTCATTTTCTTTACACTTGCACAAAATCCAAATCAAGCCAAAAGACAATCAGAAGAAATCAGAGAGTGATTCCCATGGAATGTTGCGCAACAGAACGAGCTCAACAAGGTCGTCGACGAACATGACGACGTTTCAACTGAGATGTTTGCGTCACGAAATATGAGCCAGGATAGCCTCTGAGACGCTAATTCCACGTCAACCCATTGGTTAGAAATTATTTAGCGCTTCAGGGAGAGCGATCATGGTAGGCCCCTTGAGAACCTCGACGTTTAGTGGTAGATAAGTCACATTTCTGGGAGGTAAGAGCAATGAAAGATGGCTTGCTAGTAAGATCATCGTACGGCGAATGATTTAGCGCTATGCATTTTCATCCAAACAGCCAGGCCCTATGTGAACGAAAATTTGATGATGTGCGTCACAGGCAAAGTGACTTTTTCCCCCTCCCTCACTGTAGTCAAAATCCCACCTCGTTACCATCACCGTCTGATCAGGCGTGAAATGATCGCCAGGATTCGCCGAAGGGACCACGGAATACTCCTCGACTGTATCCAGTGTCATGGTCTTTTTTAGCATCTAGAAAAAACATATTACGGAAATGACGATGCTCTCACGAAATGACTATGCCTCACGAATAGGAACTCTCCAATTCCCATAAAATCATAAAGAAAATTCGTAAGTATTCTGATGTCCGTGATCCAAAACACTGTATAACAGCAGCAGCAAGAGTTTCATTTCGGAAAATTCGAAATGAGTCGGAGCGAATTCCTATGAAAGATTCCACGATGTATTTGGTGCGTAGCACCTTAGTCAGGTATGGATTTGCCTCAGATCTGCCCGTGGCATTGGAGCGCTCTTTTGGACCATCTATGGATGAGACAAACAACAAGACAACAATACATTAAACGAATCATTCTCAATGTAATTTTGATCAAGACGGCGCACATCCTACCCGTCACACACATTCTGCTCACATTCTAAGCAATTTTGGCCACTGGTCATCCACCCTGGGGCTCCTACACCCCTAGACCTAGGCAAGGATGTCCATACCCTAGTTCAGGACCTTTCCTTGGACCACAGCAGGCCGAAATCTGAAACATCTTGGAAGCACTTCTACTACACCGGTTCTTATCAGAAGTATATTCTAAATGAATAGATAACATGTCTTAAGAGCTCTCATCCTTTTTTTTAGCATGAACAGAAAGGAGTACCCCCCCATCCACCCCTCCCCCCAGAAGAAAAACTCCATTTTCACCGGGTAGCCCCCCACTCCTAGGCTTTTGAGGGAATTCTTTTCGACTCCTTTTTGGAAGTTCTAGAGTTTTTGTAGGTTTCTGGAATGAATCTTTTGCTGGTTTTCGTGGTATGAAGCATTTAGGTCCAAGAATATTGTCCCACCACTTCTAACTGATACAGAGTGTTTCGTAAATATTATCAATTGTTATCGATATCGAGAAATCCACGTGTATCACTCCAAAAAACAACAAAAAAATTCTTGAGTCAACCAAAAATTTGAATTGCTCTTACATCGACAACAGTGCCTACGGTGGCGGCCTTCTTCTCCAAGTTGGTGGAGTTGTCACAGCCGAGGGCGATTCCCAACTCAAAAGCCGAATGCAGTCTCAGGTCATCCATAGCCAAAGCGACCTTCGCATCGCGTATCGGTCTGGAACCAGATTTCTTTTTGATACATTTCCGCAAATTAGATCTACATATTCTTGCAACTTCCGCTAGCTTCGGTATTATGCAAAATCGTATTCTATGATTTTTTCAATCAAGTCGGACGTTTTCCTCGTGAAGTCAACCCTTGGTAGCTCATCCGAAAACTCTTCACACTCATAGATTGTCGGCGCAATTCGTATAATCAGAGAGACAAAATCGACATACTTTTCACAGTCACTTCCAAAACCAAGCGCTTTTGTAAGGCTTTCATCCACAGCGTTTTTGTTGAAAAGGCGTGGTTGATTCCGTGACGGGCTGAAGGTGATAGACTCAACAAAGCCTTCCGAGATCGCCAGTACCACCACAGGACTGAAGTTGAAAATGCTCTGAAAATATAATGCAAGATTTATGTCACTTATTTATGTCACTGTTTGCAAAGTTAT